TGCTTCCGCAAATTCGGATCCGTTATCGGGTCATCTTCCGGTTCATCACTGACGCACAGGGTTGAAAAACTTTAGGCCGTCACAAAAAAGTAGGGACTTATTCTGCACAAAGTCTATATATGAGGGGGGTTTTCTGCACTTAACCCCTTATTATTTTGTACAAAGACTGCTTTTAACTTCCAATCTTTCTGCCACCCTTGTCTGCAATAATACAGAGATGAAATTGATGCTTTTTTAGCGTGGAATTTAGTGTCTTTGATTTAAAATTGAAATTAAAAAAATCAAAATTTGAATTAACTTTTATCCAATTCCATGATGCTATAATTATGCTCAAGCAAACTTGCTTTTAAAGCAATTTGAAAAATCTTTTATTCATGGAATTTTGTATTTTTATTTTTATTTTTTATTTTAGTTTAAATTTTTTATCAATTGAATCTGAAAAATAGACAGAACCTACCAATTAACAATTATGTTGCAATCTACGTGACCAAAACATCTGGTTCATTTATTCACGTATATTCCCATTTAACATTTCACAGATTTGTGCTATTAGAAAGTTTGGGGGCTTTCTAATAATCCTATGTAACTGGAACAACGGTTGCACTCATTGCGGACCCAGGAAAATGATATACACCTCTAGTTGTGACAAATAAATTCCTCACCTATTTATAGACATACTCGGTAATGTTCCAACAGTCTAAATTTTTTATAACCCTATAATAGTCTACCATTTTAAGAAATTCTACACTAACTATTTATAAACTCCTTACATTCTTCCATCTTTCAACTCTCTAAAATTTTCTACACTCACTAAAAGACTTCAGAACAACATGCTCTCCATCTTGCTCTTCTCAACTCTCTCTCTCTCTACTTCGGATATTGAGTCTTCCCTGTTGCCTAGGAATGTTACTTATGTCTGAGAACCATAGTTAAATTAATTCTTATTAATTATCTTTCAGGTTACATATGCAAATTCACATCATATATTCGAGTAACTATTACGTGTTGAGTCTTATATACATATACACACACTAGTAAAATCAACGTGCTATACACTTTGATGAGAAATTAATGTTACATTTTCTCGAAATTGCTTAATATATCAACACTTTGTGAATGAATGTAATGAAGAAATTGATTAAGTCCATAATTTTGCAATACTAAATATGTTTATTTCTTTATATAATTTGAAGATATAAGAAAGAAGTTACTAAAAAAATTAAATACCAAATATATCAATTAGCTAAATAAAAATTTGAATGAAAAATCTAAGAATAGTGTAAATTTGAATGAAAAATCTAAGATTAATGTAAATTTGAATGAAAAATCTATGAAAAATGTAAATTAAATACCAAATATATCAATTAGCCAAGTCATATATACTTTAGAGAGTCCTAATTCTTGTTAGGCATTTTGTAATTTGCATAGTACACATATTTGGTCAAACATTCAGTTTATTAAAAAGATAATCGCTTTAGAATTGCATCCTATCTGGTCGTTAATTGGAATGTTAAAACTACATTACTATAAATAACCCGGATATGTATATTAAGCACCATAAATTTCTTCTGGATTGTTTGAAGTCAATAGACTTAATGCATGACATTCGTGGATTCATTATTTTTAACAAATAATAAATAAATAAATAAAAATAAAAAATTTATAAGTAATGTTTTATAAGGTTAACTTCAGTTACACCCCATGTGATTTGTCTAATCTTCAAGAAGACTCCCTACATTTGCGAAAATTCAGTTAGATTTTTTACTTTTTTTGACACATCAGTCCCCTTATGTCAACGGTCAAAACTAGTCGGAAACACTTTTCACTGACATCAACAAAAAAAAAAAAAAAAAAAATATTTTAATGCCCAAATTGCCCAGGGTAATGTTTGGTGGTTGGAAAGAGAGAAACCTAGTTTTAGAGAGAAAGAGGTGGTCGGACCAAAACGATAGGGATGAATCGGCGGTCACGGACTCTACATCGGTGCCGACCTTGTTTTCTCCATGAACGCCGGTGAGAGCTCGGAATGGAGAGAACAGAACGGCATCGGTGGTGTTTGTATTGGAGTCGCATCCGATGAGAAGAGAGAAGAGAGAGGAGAGAGAAGACAAACACTTTCTCTTTCTACTGGTTTAACCTAAGCATGAACCGCGGCGGCGAGCAGTGACTCCAAGCTGAGGCCGGAATGAACTTACCGGCGGACCGAATGACGACGACGCTATTCATCTGCTTTTGGGGGATCAAAGAGAAGAACTGAAGAGGCTAGCTGTAACAGGTACGCTTGTCATCCAATCCAAAGATTAATTTTACTGCCTAATCCAAATGTTAGACAGTGCATGGACAATGCTGACGCCTAATCCAAATGTTGTTCAATACCTTCGCTGCCATTTTCATAAAAAAAAATCCTACACAATACACCAATTTCCAAGCTGAATCCTTTATTCCAAACAATAAATAAAGTGCCAAGTTCAAAAGTAGAACTTGATATGGGTAATACAATATATTTTCTATATAAATTCAACAATGTGATATTGCTAACCACTTGCTTGTGTATGAGTACAAGTTGCAACGAATAAATAATGAAAAATCAACCAAAATAGTACATACCCACTTCATATGAAAGTCAAACAGACGACACATAGACGATAAAAACAAATTTAGCTAGAGATTTAGTTACTGTAAGCAAATATCAGACCTAAACATCAATTTTATCAAAATGGGTAAAACTTTAAATAGATGAAAAGAAAATTAACAGCAGCAAGACCGGAACAAGCTCGCCTTCGCAAACGAAGCCTTCAAGCTCGTCTCCGATGCCTGATTGTTGAACCGACTCTCGGCGGCGAGAAGTGTGTCGACGACGGCGAGAATCCGGTCTGCGTATTCCAGGCCTGGGCCAAGCTGAAATTCCATCATTCTCATCAATCTAGAACTGAAATTATCTTAATGAAACCATCAATTCAACCATATGTTCAAGCTGTCCGAATTCAGAGAAAATTCGGGAAGACTCGTTGGTGACCGCTGCAGCTCCGTTCACTTCAGTTTGTACCCTCAATGATCTTGGCATCTTCTGAAACTGAAGTTCATCACTGAAACTTTGACAACCAAGCTGATTTCTACGAACAACCTCCGGCGTTTTCTCCTGTTTGGTTCAACAGATAAAGCTAACCTTGGTGGGAGTTGTAAAACACATTGTTTGGTTAGGTGTATATAGGAAAATGACAAAAGGGCAATTTAGTCATTTCACTCATTTATTTGTTTTTGTCTGACCGAATTTTTGCAAATATAGGGGTCACCTTAAAAACTAGACATAGCCCAGGGGAGTGTAAATGAAGGTAACTTTTTTTTAACAATTTCAATAGGCATGGAGAAAAAAACAAACGACGACCATAGTAACAATAACAAAGTTTTCTCAAAGTAAATATTTCTTTTTTATGCCATCATCATCTTCAAGCAAAAGAAAACTTATCCTTCTGCCTAACTCATTATGGGCCCGTTTGATAATCTCTTTTGCTTCGTGTTTTTACTTTGACTTGAAGTAGAAGAAATGTTTCTGCTTTAGAGTGTGTTTAACATTATTTCGAAACTTGTTTGGTAACATATTTTTGTTGTAAGATTTTTTAAAGCAAAAACATGAAAGCTTGTTTGATAAAAAGTGTTACAAATTTGAAAATTTGAATAGACAGTTAAAAAGGGTAAAGTGCAAAAAAACCCCTTGAAGTATTGATCATGCAGCAAAAAACCCCCCTGATTTAATAATTTGACAATTAACCCCCTTGAACTAGGGATTTGGTAGCAATTTACCCTGTCCGGCGATCTACCGGTGAATTTTGAGCTCGTGCAAGTCACCTGACAGTCCAAATATAATTAAATGACCATACAACCCTTATGAAAAGTTAAGGACCATAATGCCCTTCTATGTTTATCTTCCCTAAATTTCCCCATCCCCATCTTCCTTGATTGATTTCGGGATGTATAGATATATATACATTTTGTCACTGAAACACCTGCGCTGATGTATGAAGCAAGAAGATGACCGGTGATGAAGCTAGGGACACAACACAGGGCGACGACAGCAAGGAAACTTTGGCGATAACAAAGAATGAGGTCGCGACACGAAGAAACAGATCAGAAATTTCACGATCTGACAGACAACTCGTCGATGATGAAGACGCCACTGTACTGTCCCTCCGATTACGATCCTCCAAATTAGGTTGCAAGAAAAAAATAAAACCCACCATCCAAGCTCGTCCCCACTGCCGTCTCTTCATCCGCAATCTCACAGCCGAAGTCGCAACCAGCCCATCGCCGTTCAGCCACAACCAGCCCATCGCCGTTCAGCCTACCTTGCTCGCCGGTCCTCTCCACCATCCGAGCTTGTCCCCGCAGTCGTCGCTTCATTTGAGCGCCGCTAAGTCATCCACGGTTGAGCCACCGCCGACCCAGCCCGCCGAGCTCACCGCTGCATTTCTTCCCCACAGTTGCTGCCGCCACTTCACTGCCAGTCCATTCCACCTCCGCCGCTGTGCAGTTCCTCCGTCTCCATCACTGGGGGTGTAAAAGATTGACAGAAATCCCGTCTGTGAAAGTGATTGTGATTTGGGTTTGCCCAGCCCTTGATATTTTGATTCAATTTTTTTGTTCAGAATTTTTTTTTTTAGTTCTACTTTTTGTGGATAAAATAATATCAAAAAATTGGTGGTGGTTAAAATTTTCTGAAACAACGTGGTTTTATATAGGGGTAAAATTGTCGTTTACTATTTCCATTATAACTAATTGGCCTGAGATGTCACGTGGGGGGTTAATTGTATCAAATTTAATAGTTCAAGGGGGCAAATTATAATTCATGGGGGTTAATTGCACATGGCCAATAGTTTAAGGGAGTTTTTTGCACTTTACCCCAGTTAAAAATTTCATTTAAGAAAGAATTTTTATTATTATTTTTTAAACACTGTTTTGCTATAGTGAGGAAGCAAATAAAAGCATCATTTTTGTGCTTCCAATTTTGACCTCAATTTCGAAGTGCTTCAATCCTATTCAAATGACAACATACGTTACCAAACATGTTTTGTGCTTTGCATTCTACACTAGCAAAAGCAAAAAACAAGATGCAAAAGTATTAGCCAACCAGGCCGACATCCTTTTGCTACAGAAACAGAGGTAACTTTGAAACCACTTCTTCAGGAGGCTGTGTCACATTTGTGTATATAAATTACTTTGAAACATCACCCATAGTGTCTCCCCCAAATAATTAGAGAATTCCATTTCCAAATTACCACCTTTGAAGAGTTGAAGCACAAATATCATTATCATCATCATCATCAAAATGTCTTTTAGCATCATCATCATCAAAATGTCTTTTATTTGAGAAGCAAAGAGACTAGTCTCGGCAGATGTTGCTATACACAACCAAAATTTTTATCAAACCTGAGAGGACGGAGATCGCCAAAGAATGGTGCTTTTGTAACGAAGAAATAACGTTGGTTGATATCTACTCAGCTATATGTTCTCTTGCTTGCTTGAGCTCTTGATCAACAAGTCCAGGATGAGGATCTCTTAATTACATGCTTCATTTGCTTGTCCTCCTCCAGGGAGATCATTCCCAAGTGTGAGGGATCCTCCAACATCATCTTTGCCACCAAATAACCCGCGATTGACCATGTCTGAAACTTCCTTGCTTGCTTTCCGATGTATCTCCCGAGTTTCCCGTCATAATATTCCGGCCACCCGTCTTTGAGCAGACGGCTCTCGGCAAGATCGATTGCTCGTCTTGCTATTTGTGGCCGTCCCGTTTTGATGCAGGCACCCGTTAGCATCCACAAGAGCACTGCATTCAAGATATGAAGATCATTGCAACGGAGAAAATAGATTGTCATGTTGTCAGTTCATGTGATTTACCAACAGTTTGTGCTATGCATTCATATAATTAGCCACTGTTAGAAAGTGATAAATTAGCAAATGACAAATTATTTATAGTCTTAAAAGGTCATTAGCTTATCAAGTCCATTTCAAGCTGAGTTTAATAAAGTAATGATTTTCAAAAATGTGATCAAAGCTTGGCTTCATTTATCTTACTAGTCTACTACCCTCTAGAATTAGCAGGAAACGAAAATGGAATATGAAATCAAAAAAATGCTTTGGGATTGTCAGATACGCGGACAGGGAGTCCCTTGAGTGAGTTCGATAGCTCATTCCTTGCTGCTTGCTTCCGGCTGTCTACATGCTTAAGTTTGATTGCAGCTAATGGTTTCAGAAAGTGAGCTGGTCAATAGCTCCATGCTCGCGTAGCTTCAGTTATCATACAGCACTAGAATTTATAACTTGTCAAAGTAAATACTGTTGATCATATAAAGGGGGGGAAAATTTGTTGATCATGCATTATCATTTTCTATAATAAGGATACACCAGAGAAAATAGATCACACAGAGGCAGAGAATCAGAATCACCTCTAATACTTGGCATCTCCTTTCCTTTTTTACAAGGTAATTGTAGTATTGGTATCTGACAGCCAAGAAAACCTGAGACCTCATTGGAGTTCCTCTTTTTTCTTTTTCATATAGAAAAAATAATAAAGAGGGAAAGAATAAACGAAAGGGAAGGTGCTAGGCATAATACATAGCAACAGTATTGTACTAGGCTACAAAGTCAAACTATTTACTGGCTGTGGCCTTGGGGAAGAAAATGCAAACTTCATGTAAAATACAGGAAGCCCAAATCTCGCTTTTGCAACTACTCCCCCATCAGGAATATGAATATTGCCTACATGTCAAAATGCATATATCCAAAACTTAAATATGCCATACACCAACTCCCACAAGATCAGAAGACCAAGATTATGACAATAATGTGTATTTTGGCATTGGTTAAAGAAAAATGGTCTATCAGAGTATTCATCTTAAAAACTGAAATCTTTGCCAATGCACGTGGGCAAGAAGTGTTCTCATGCATCAATGTCTATTTATAATCAAATGGCGGAAAATAAAAGGCTTAAATGAGATGGAATGACAAGGGAATGATGGAAGAACCTGGCCAAGATCCCCCGTTATGGTAACTCCATATGGTATTCTTCGGATCACAACCGGTTACAGTTCGCCATTCATGACTTTCTATTGCAGGATAGCATATTTTTAAAGGCATTTCTCCTACCAGCTCCTCCCAGCGTGCTTCAATAAGATCCATAATAGCAGCAGATTGCTCAGGAGTGGCAAGAGAAGATAAGATAGCAATACAGTTACCTAAAACAAACCATCGAAAATCCATCCTTGCAGGACTGACATTGCCAATAAAATAGCCACCACGCGTTGGCATAAAATCAAATACCCATTCTGGGATAGAATCAGGAATTACATTAAATTTATTTACTGCAGTGTGAGAATACTCCTCAGTTTTATAGCGGTATATGTCATTTAACTGTTGGAAGTCAAGCCAGAAATAACTCCTCATGTGATAACTCAAGGCTTGCAACCGCTTTACTATTCTCTCCACAAACTCTTTCCCTTCTGCATCATGTTTAAGCATTAGCAAAGCACACCTCAATGCCATAAAGAAGAGTGCTTGGATTTCAATAGGATACCCATAAATACCCTGAACAACAAAAGCATGCCATTAGAGTATGTAAACGTGTAGTATGACATTAGGCTCTTAACAACTTATCCTATTATCGACTTTGATGCTGCCATAACATCTGAAATCTTAGGACTGCATCCCTTGTAATAAGGATCTCAGGAACTATTTAGTTCAAACCATAGGGCTTATTCTTGAGTATTTAATCTTATAAAGATTGAAGAACATAAATCCAAGAGAAGTGGTACGGTTTCGATATCCCACAATTTTCACACGACCAAATAAATTTCTTCCTAAAAGATTATGCTTAATATAACCTGTTCGGTATATCACAATTTTCATGCAAACAAATAAATTTCTTTCTAAAGGTTATGCTTAATATAATTTGTGATAGGCACATGCATCCACATTTCAAAAACAAAGAGATACATGGACCTACAACTACAAGATGGAAAATTCTGGGTAAATAGATTGAAACGGCTAATGATGCTATAAACAACTATTGCATTGAGTTCAAGATGCCTTAGCATTTTGATAAAGAGACATGTGAAGCCACAACTACAAGACTGAAATAATTTTCTACCTTTTATGGTAAATAGTTGGAATGATCAATAATGCTACAATTATCTTATACTTCACCAAAAAAAAAAAAAAAAAGGTAGTGATGCTAGAAATCGACTATCATAATGAGTTTAAAATGCCTTGGCTTGCAATATCATTCGGAAAACATTATGCAATGGGATTTAAATATAGTATTTTTGAGTGATATTTTTTAACTCAAAAAAATCATAAGATTCAGAAGGACTTGATGACTAATAGGGAGCAATGCAGAAAGAAAAAAGAAGAGAGTGTAGACGAAAATGAGAATAAGAAGAAGGTGAATGCCCAAAATAACAATCTAGTCTGAACTTAGATGCTTCTCATATTTTTTTAGCAGAAATGAGTTAGCAATCGGGATTCCATATAACAAGGGGTTCTGTTTAGCCATTGTTGGTTTTTTAAAGAACAGACACAAGATCTGAAATGATCTACATAAGAAGCTTATGTAAATTATGTTTTGTATGTTCATGGAATCCATAAAATTCTTGAATTTGACCGCATATCTGTGGAAGGAAAATCAAATACATAAAGCAATTTCCTAGCTTCAGTTAATTATATAAGCATAATTGATACTTGGGGTAAATATGACAGGATGAAATCCAATAAGAAAGCAAGAGCATGAACAAGAGAGAGAGAGAGAGAGAAGAAGAGACAATGCTTCATTAAGGATTCAGTGTGCTATCACCTCATTTTCAAATCATTAAATCTCTCTTCACATCATATGATGCAAACAAATAAACAAAGCAATTGAGTTATTGGCAATGATTTCATCATTTCATGGTTTAGACATTCCCTTCTCTTTTATACAATAGAAGTTGCAAATGAGATATTATGATAAGTCTGCAGTTTCACACCCTAATTTGAATCACCAGAAAAAATTCAAGAAACTGCTAGATTAGATGTGGAAGTGCTAAACATCACAAACTATGAAGCACAGAAATGGGAATTCCTACAATAGGACATGGACAACGCAACCCGATATGACAAATTCCTAAAAAACAAGATAAGGATACAACAATTAAACAACAACAATATATATACATAAATATATATGTGCATATATGTATAAAAATTACATATATATACGTATTTGTGTATAAATTTAGAATTAATATTAACATATCATGTTATCTACATATATATATTATGGTCAGATTATGACATTCTATTATGAAAAGATACATATAAATAGGTACTTTTATGAACCTCTCAAATATTCATGTTTCTCTAACTTATAATATTAAAATCATATGAAAAAGCTGCGAATTATATTGCATGGACATTAACCTTAAACTAAACTGGACATAATACGTTCTCATTATATCTCGATTCTTCTTATCTAGCAAAGTCCAAACATCTAAAATTTACATTAAGATATGTCTAACAATTATATTTAAACCAGATACACTGCATTTTAATGTTCTTGACATGTCTAAGAAATATCACATACATGTTTGAAATAAAATAAATAAATAAAATTATTTTTAAATTATGGATAGCTCTAGGTAGTTTGGACGCATATCAGTGAGAACCCGAGTATTAGTAACATATGGATACGATATGGAAAGACTTCCTTACAGTAGTGCTGTTAAGACAAGACCAAAAGATAAATTACCATTCTTCGGTCAATCATTGAGCAACCATCGGCACAGAGCAGAGTTGGAAATGTATCAAATCCCTCTGACAGACACAGGGACAGTATAAGCCTCATCCCCTTTTGGCACTCAGGAGTTTCTGCCAGTGTTAGATCTCCGGTAGACTTCGTATATGCACGGAGCAGAATAATCCACCAGAATCCAGAGTCAACTGGAGCAACTCTTCCAATCGCACTCTCACCAAAATCTGCTATTATAGTATCGGTTTTACGGACAGGATCATGAAGAACTTTGAAACTAGCTGGCATTGCACCTTCTCCAAGCTTGAATCTGTCTATTTTCTTTTCCCACCCTTGAAGCTGAAGTGTCTTCAAGAGGAAGTTCTTAACTATATCTGGCTCTCCATTCATTAGGAAAGCTAGTGCACTAGGTACAAAATCTCGGACAAAAACCTACACAGTAAACAAAAAATCAAATAAAAGTTTCTGGAATTGTGCAAATTCCAATATCAGATTCACCCAAGGATTGAACTTTTCATCGGATGATCTGACTGCATTTTAATTTAATCAACCAATAATTGACAGATTCTCAATTTTTTGCTCAACTTTTAATTTAGCATTGCCTATTTAAAAAGTTATACAAATAATCCCAGTATCAACACTTCCAAATATTAATGAATTTAAAGCACTAGCCACTAAGTTTTGAACCTTTACCTGATCATAATTTAGAACTTCCTCTGAAGCATGGTCATATGCTGCAATAGTGCCAACCGGTTGACCCCGGAAGAATACCAAAGACCGACGGAGAGCTTCCCAAGCTTCAGCAACAATTGGATGTGGCTCAAAAGAGTTCCGAGTTGATGACGTTGGGGTATCCAACACCGACCTCGCAGGTGAGTAAGTGTTCTCAAGGTACTCTAGGCCTCTTGGTACATTAATAGACAACTCACTGAGTGAACGCTCGTCGAATGACCTCTGCCTCTCTATGTTTAGCCTCGGTTTCTCAAGAAGCTTCGAGAGATCAATATCATCCATTTCGGAGATTGAGCAATGGGAACTCACTTTCCTAAGTCCATACTCTTTAGTACCATCCATGCTTACTCAACTCTCAAAACCAAAAATATTCTGTATCACAAAGAGAGATCTATATTTAGAGGAAAGTGATATATCATATATGGGGGTGTGTGTATCCACACAATTCAAAGGTCAAACATTCAAACAGTACATATATAAGTATACTCAAAATAGGAAGACAACAAGAACGAAACATAAAATAATGTTAAAGCCCATTATTTAGGAAAGTCAAAATAGTATTATCCATGGACAAATTTTACAAATTAAGAAAGACATGAAAAAGAATGAGATTCTGTATATGTATTCAGTATATTCTCATCCAAATATATAGGAGAATAACCACCAAAATTCATACACTCTTATCCATCTGCGGATTCAGAAAAAATGAATAATATATCAACTTTTTTGTTCATCAAGATTTTTTTTTAAAAAAAAAAAAAGTGGGGGCAGCTAATTAACTAACCCAAAAAAATAAAAATATTTCTTTTAGTAGTAATTCTATCAAACAAGATATAATAAATAAAATTATAACCAAAATAAAGGTTTGCTTTTGGGAGTAAAAAACTAACAAATGGAACAGAATCATGCAAAAAAAAGAACAAATCTTTGAATGCTAAAGAATTTAGCAAGTTTACTACATTGTGAAATCCTTGGAAGTTTCCAAAAATGACAACAAATTAAGATCCATAAAAAAGAATTGTTCAGACAATGTCTATAATCAAACAATATGAACAGTAATAAACCTGAAAGCTTCAATAGAAAGCGCAAATTCAATAGCTTTGAGAAAACAAAGCAGATTGAGCAATTTGTGAGAGGCAAGCCAGATCTGAAGCTAATTTTCATGAAGATCATGAAGAAAAAGAGAGTAAGAGAGAGAGAATAACTGACCTTGCAGAGCTTAAATGAGGAAGATGATGAGATATTCCGGTGGTAGAAAACCGGCGATTTCGCCGGAAGGTCGTCGTCGGCGAGAAGACACAAGAGAGAAAAAGAGGAGAAAAAAAGAGCATGTTTGCGGGGGGTTCTGTATATATAGTAAAAAGAGAGGGAGGGGAGACTTTTAGTAGAGAGAGAGAGAGAGGAACGGACCGTTCTTAATGTAACATCCCATTGTAAGAAGCTTACCGGAATTAGCCGGTTTTAGAGAGAGATATTTTAGAGAGAGAAAAATCCGAGATAGAGAGGGTACCCGAAATAGCCGATTAGAGAGAGAGAGGAGGAGAGGGGAAGGGTAGGTGATCAGTTAGCCGCTGTCCGGCTGTCCCTTTTTCAAAGATGTTGGGCGAGTTTTGGTTTCTTTGTCATTTTCATTTTGTGCCTAATGCAACAAATTACTACGATTTTAAATTTTTATTACAATAAATTTAAATCCACATTTCACAATGCAATAATTATATAAATATATTAAATCATCAATTTAATTGTATTATTATAAGTTTGCAATGTCATATATTATTACTCCATCTCTTCTATATTAATTATCTATCCAAAAAATTTTGAGTCACTATCACATTTTATTTTTGTGTCATTTGAGGTCATTTTTAGTCATATTCCTTTTATATACTTATATATTATCTCCATTCCATATTAGATGTCCACTTTAACAACTTTGTCAAATTACTACTCAAAGTTTTCAAATTGGATAACTAGTATGAGACGGAGGTAGTATATCTTACACGCGTTCCCTGTAATCTCACCTACCGCCCTTATCAAAGGTCAATTTTACCCTTCCAATGTCTGAACTGATAAGAAATATTTCACAGGCAAAACATTAAAATAATATTTCAGAGAAAATATGTAAAATTATAAAATACAGAAGAGTTTATGTGAAATATTTATAAATCTCAAAGGAGGTAAGCGGAATTTACTATATAATATATTAAGCTAATACTCTATTTTCAATATATATACATATCCTTTTATAATTTCACTTACTTTTCCTATAGGATGTGAAAGTGGGTTTAGTGTGTAATATAGGAGGAGTAACGTTTTTTTGCTAGGAAATTACGGGGAGAGAGGGTTGCCGGTGAATGCACGAGGAAATTGCTGGTGAATCCACGTGGACAAAACGACGCAGCTCTGGCGGTCCCCTCTGATTACATTTTTTTGGTTGTTTGTTGTTTGAAGACGACTTGCTTTTGCATATTCCACCGTCAACTTGTTTTATCCGTCAACTTTTACTTTTATCTGGCTTTTGCTTTTATTAAATTCTGTAAATTGAATTAGCTAGTAAATGAAATCTTATTTTGGATAAAAAGATAATGAAATTGAAGTTAATTATGGAGATATTAATTTGGGTAAGAGTTCAGGTTTTTCATTTTTTTTACCTTTTTAAAAATATTTTAGACAACTCTACAATCTTAAGATAAAATCAATTCATACCAAATTAATTAAATGTATCTCATACTTCATTTAATGAGTTAAATACAAAGGAGAAATTAATTATTGGGTGAACTTTTTATCATTCATTTACATATTTATAGGTATTTGTAAACGAAAATTGATAAAGTTCTCTTAACTAAAGATAGGAAAATGCATGCATTGATTATTTATTATTGTTTTGACACCTATTAGTCAAAATCTATAAATGAGACATTTTATATTTAACATTAATAATAAATTAATATTGATTACTTCATCCTAAATTTTATCCTTGTCAAAATCTATAAATGAGGCATTTTATATTTAACATTAATAATAAATAAATAAATAAATAAATATTGATTACTTCCTCTTAAATTTTATCCTTTATTTTATCATTGACCTGTCCTCTTTGTTGATTTTTTCCCTTCAAATTCTCAGAAAGATTTGCACATGTACATTATATATATACATGCATACAAGAAGACTCTTGTGCGGTTTAAAACAACGAATTTTTTAGCGAATCAAAAGTCAAATAATCAATTACACTTTATTATTTTATCAAACCTAACCATAGTTAATATTTGTTACCTTAATAGTAAATTTACCATACTTAGTCAATGCCTTTATTCAATCTCTCTCCCACTTCGTCAATAATCGAGTCTCAAACAAAAAGCATATATTGCTTAATTCTGGCATGGAAATAATAAAAGGTCTTCAAATTTGGGTTTTATAAGATAGAAATAAGAAAAATCTCCAAATTCTTGATTCTGGCAATTTGTTCGTTTTCATTCGCATTTACGTTTTCACGCATTACAATTTCCTTCAAATTTTATGTCACAAATACAATTAAATATCTAGTCTCATCGTCCCAATTTTGGAAATAGTTTATGGTATCAGAAAATCGACATTCAAAATTTTAAAATTTCTCAAAAACTATTTCTATTACTCAACTTCTTTTTCACTTTTTTTTGGTGGTTGAAAATAATTATGCAGAAACATTTTGGCGAGGCCATGTCAAATGCATATAACATGCACATGCATCCCATTTACCACTTCACAGTTTCTCCAATTTGGATCATCATTAACAAGAACTTTAATATTACATGTCTATCAATTCATGGTACTACTTGCACACGTATATCAAACTAAACCTTATTTATCAATTTGCAATGCAAATTGGAAACTTCTTCTCATGCATGCCATTAATCTGTTAGCCTTGCAGTCCGATTTTAGAGAATGAATATGGTAGTTGTGTTATGGCTGTAGTGATGAAGATGGAGGCTATGATGATGTGGATATGACGGTAGCGGTTGAGATTACAAGGAAAATGGAAGAGATTAAGGAGGAGAAATATTGAATAAAGGTATTGGTTAATTATGGTAAATTGACTATTAAGGGAACAAATATTAATTATGATTAGGTTTGATAAAGTAATAAAGTGTAATGGACTATTTGACTTTTAGTCCGCTGAAAAATTCGTTATTTTGGACTGCATGAAAGTCTTCGTGTACATGCATATAAATAACTTATAATATAATCTAGGGTAAGGTGTAGAAAACACTCATTTAGTATAGGTTTAATGCACAATGCCTCAATTCTTTTCAAATGTCGGTCTCCGTTTTTCAAAAAAGGTGCATATCAGTCTCTGTCTTTTTTAAAAAATGTGCAGATAACCCTCTAAAACCACTTTTTGCCATAAAGTAATAAGAAAACTTGGTTTTGTTCCTTCTTCTTCTTCTTTCTTTCTTTTTGTTTTTGTTTTTGTTTTTTTTTTTTTTTTTTTTTGCCCCTTACATAATGTGTACAAAAATCACCCTCCTAACCCATTTCTTCTATTTATCTATTCATTTTTTGCCCTAAAACCTACAAAACATCTAAGCAACATAAAACATAAGATGGAAGAAAACTTAATTGCTTTGATTGTATTAGTGACGTGGTATTACTAGCTTATTAGATAATGACACGTAGTGATATGACCCATTAAAAGAAAGTATTTTTACTGATGTGACACGATATAATTGATTGATGGCACATGTAACGAAGTATTAAATATGTAGGGAATTATTTATACATAAGATGGTCAATACGATGAGCATTCTCATATTCACCATATGACCTATGAAGTACGGACATGGATACGGGATACGGGTACGACACGACACGGATACGGCAATACGGTAAATTTCAAAAAAATAGGATACGGACACGGTGGGGATACGCCTATAAAATTATATATATATAATTATATATTCAAAATATAATTACTAGAATCTTGTACAGAAAAATAAAACAACAACAAAAAATAGAATCAATTTTAATAATTTCATCTCTGTTACAAGAAAAATATAGATAAGACAAAACAGAAAATAAATGAAAAGTAAAGTTGATTCAAATTCCAAACGAAGATGTGCAGAAGAGACATAACTATAATGAACTAAATATGTATATGAATAAACATATATACTTTTAGTCTTTCACAAAGTTTTGTTCATGTAACTTAATATATATATATATATATATATATATATATATATATATATATATATCTTGTTCATGAAGAGAGATAATTGAAGAAGATGAGAGATTGAGAGGAGTGAGAGAAAATAAATTTTGGACACTTTACAGAAGTGTCTGACCGTGTGTCCGAGTCTCGGACACGCGTGTCCAGTAAAAAATAATATTTGGACACTTTACAGAAGTATCGGAAACGTGTCCGACCCTCGGACACGGGTGTCGGTGTCCGAAAAGTATCCGACACGGGTACGGGACTCCTGGGAGGAGTGTCTGTGCTTCATAGCATATGAATAAATTATTATTTTTTTTTAGTTTTAATTTATTGTGTATAGAAGAAGGTAGACAGTAAAGTTAAATAATAATAATCTTCTTAATAAATGCTGAATTACAATAAATTATATGTGAAAGTCAAGCTTTCAGATATTACTTTCCATAATTGGTTAAATATTATTGTTGGAGTATATTAAACAAAAGGCTGCTTTGGAGAATTAGTTAAAGACGCGGGTTGACTCCGTAAATGTTTTGGTCCCCATGCATTACAATATAATGAGCTATCAACCTCCAATGATAATTAAATAAAACGATTATTTTACAAAGTTTATATTTTTATTTATTTTTTATTTTATTAATATGAAAGCATTACCGTTTATTTTAAAACTCAAAAAAGTTATTTACACTAAATTAATAATATAAAAACATTTTAAATTACACATAACTTTTTTTTACTCTATATTAATAGTATGGAAGAATATCTTGCACTTTACCTTATATATTATAGTGGCTTTTATCCACACGCCATTGTCAGCCTTAATTATTTTGTGGTGTAAATATATATGATGCTGACGTTTTGATAAGCACTCGTGACTGTGGCATGCCAATTGTATAAGCGTATTACTTTGGTGATAAGACCTTCCATGGTAGCAAATGGAATAAATTTCTTAATTACAAGGAAAATATTTTGCCTCCTCTCCACAACCTTACATGACATGTAATGACAAGTTACAATTTTTTTTGCAAGTGGAACACTTCTTTAACTTTAAGGCCAGTATCAAATGTAAACAAGTCAATAATATTCCATATTGAGCACTTTCTTTATTTGCCCAAAAAAAGGAATATTCCATATTGTTTTGGAGTCTAAAATCATGATGTACACTATTAATTCAACCATGGAACACACAAACCCTTTTTTTTTTTTTTTTTTTTT